GGCCGTCCCGAACGATCGTCATCATCAGTCAATGTTTGGCCATTTTTAAAACGCTTATACCAGTTGTAAGTTTGTGTCTGGCCTAAACTGTTTTCACCAAAAGCTTGCTTCAACATTTGGTGCGTTTCTGCAGCGGTTTTCCCAAGTTTGAAACAAAACTTTATACAGACATGCTGCTCTCTCAGGTCAGCCAACGCAAAACCTCATACTCACGGAAACACAACAATGGAAATACATTCACCAACAATAAAGCCAACCACTCAACTTGACACCGCTTGGCACACTAATTCAAGAAGAATGTATGAGGAGACACCTAGCGGTATTTTGATGTACTCATAACCATTCGCGTGCAAAATTCAAATTTCTGAAACTTTTGGATTGCCCCATGTATGTATGTTGTGTGTTCATTTTATAATGCTGGGAAAGGTGTCCTCCTAAATACCTTCTTCCACAGCCTCTTTTTCTTTATCAGACCTGGTTTCCTCCGATGGAGGTCCCTGATCTGGTAAAGTCGGGTTGACTAGAGGAGGGATTGTCTCCTCATCAGATATTCTCTTTCGGTCAACTGAGGGAGTGGGTACATCATCCCCCTCCCCCTCAGAGACCGAGTCAGATGATACTATATCTGATACAGATTCTGTCCGGTGCTGATCCTCAGGATCATTCAGCACCTTAATAGTCCCCTGTGAGGGTCCTCTGTATAATAGTATAAGAGTCCCAGTCTATGCATAAGATAAGCCTGTGACCTTTTGCCTCAGATTGCTTATCTAGTACCCTCCAGTTCTCTGTATGAAGTCCTGGGAACCGAATATAAGTCACCACGTCTTACAATTTCTCTGTTATTCTGTTTTTCTGTGTCTATTCATTGGAGTGGGGATGTGTGTTTGACAAGTTGTTGGCTAGCAGTGGACTTCCACTCTGGCTCCACTATTCCGGCTGTCAGGTGTCATGTCACAATATACTAGTCCCAGAACACTTTGGCTTTAGGAGAGGAATATCGACTGAAAATGCAGCCTTTGAGCTAACAGACAATATATTAAAATCTGTTAGTCAAGATATGCATCTTGGTGGAATATTCTGCAATTTGGCAAAAACCTTTGACTGTGTAAATCACAAAATTTTATTAACTAAATTACATTTTTTTAGCATTCAGGGAGCAACAGCAATTTGGCTGGTTCTACCTAACAGAGAACAAACTATCAGAATAAATTCATCAAATTTAACCCAAAGTTCCTACCCAAACTGGGCAACAGTAAAACATGGAGTTTCCCAGAGGTCAATCTATATAAATGACCTCCCTCCTACACTAAACACCTCATCACCACCCATAATATTTGCTGATGACACTATGTAACTGTCCAGCCCTTATGTTGGGATCCACCTTTTCTCTCCGTAACCGTTCTTACCTCACCTTCACTCCACCGCCTTGTTGGTTGGTTACTCACGTGTTGTTCGTCGCTCCTCTCCTTCTTTCTTCTTCTTCTTAGGTTGGGCGCCAGTAAGCTCAGATGGTGTCGGCTTACAATAGTCTTAGATTTAGTTCAGCTGTGAGTAGAGCTGGGATCCTTCTCAGAGCGTTTCTAGGGCCTCTCTTAGGACAGGGAGGGAAGCAGTTGGTTCAATGCTACTTTGCACTTAAACACTGTGACCATTTATTGAGATCAACAATTTCCTTCACCTGATGACACACACACGCGCACACACAGTCAATACAAGGGATGTTTATATATAGGTCCTTATCTAGCACAGTCCTGGTATAACAGACATTATTACAATTTACACTTTCTTTAGCACTCTGAATTTATACCGAAGAGCGAAAAACACAGATTTTGTTTCCGAATTGTTTACGAGTAGCAGGCGCTTGGCGACTGTTTGGCAACTGTTTGTCAACTAATGAAAACACTGAGGTACCCTGGACGTCAGTTCCTCTGCTAAGTCACTCCCCCTTAATTCCACTGATTGGGTAATTTTGAGAACTGGGGTTTACACAATTTATGGATCTCCAATCAGCTGGCTGCAATTTGGGGCTTTGAACCTTAAAGTCCTAACGTCGTTTTTGACAGTGCACTGACAGATAACCTGCTTGGCGTGGGTTTCGAAACCGCCTGCTTTTAAGTTACGACATGCAGGACCTGTCAGTGATCGAATTCTCAAAGTTTGCCGCCGTGCTACTCACAAACAAAATTTCTCAGAAAAAGCCATAGGGGGTGCTTCCTGTGTAACATCAAGATTTGGAATAAGTCCATTCCTGAAAATAAGAATGTGACTATGTCCCACTGGCTTTGGTATTACTTGTTACCTGCACTTAATTTTTTTGTTACGATTATTCCAATTATACTTAAATTAGTGAGTGACAGTGGAGCGGTTACAACTAGTGTCATAATTTGTAATAAAAATTTAGACGTTTTCTGCATATTTATAAAACAAAGTTCTGTCCCAGATGAATAAATGGTTTTCTGCAAACAAGCTGTCCCTGAATCTACATAAAGCAAATGTAATAAAATTTATAGCAAAAGAACTCACAACAATATCCATTAAACATTATATATAGTGATAAATAAATAAATAAATATATATATATGTATATATATATATATATATATATATTGTAACGTGTTGTGTTACTGAAACTTGTTGGTAATGTGTGTAAGTCCAATCCCACTTCTGATACCAGTGTAACGTGTTCAGCCAATGAAGACACCGTTCGGATTGTTAATTGGTTTATGTGACAACCTAGAAGTATCAGCCACAATTACTTACAGCAATGTTACGGGTTTCCACAGTTTACAAACTCTCCACACAAATCGATTCGCTCATTACAAGTAAACTCTGTGACTACTACAATTCAGTTCAACTCGTAACTCTCCGCTGGCTAGATTCCAACTCAACTCGTAGACTGCTGCCTTGAGAACTGTCTTCGGCGGCTGTGTAGTTCCCTTATAAACCCTCAGCCGGACAACGGGAAAACAGTTGCATAATAGGCACTACTGTTGTCTGACACCGTGTTTGCCTGTTATGTAATGGGTACCGCTGTTATTACTGTTGTCTCTCGCAACCACTGTTTACCCACTTTGCTTAGCAACCGTTGTTTACTCGCTTTGCATAGCGACCAGCGTGCTGGGACTCGGCTCACTTCGGCTCCACTTGGCACGTCACGGCTGGCGGGGAGGAGGGGCGTCATCCATAGTGCAG